TCGCTGGAGGGCAGTGGCACGCTCCCGGCCACCGCAGCCTCGACCTGCTGGGCTTCGGCGATCCTTCCACCTCAGCCTTCCAAGTAGCTGGAACTACAGGTGCGGGCTACCACGCCTGGCTAGTTTTTTATTTATTATAGAGATGAGGTCTCGCCAAGTTGCCCAGGCGGGTCTCGAACTTGCAGGCTCAGGTAATTCACTTGCCTTGGCCTCCCAAAGTGCTGGGATTACAGGTTGAGCCACTGAGCCCGGCTGAACAGGTACTTCTAAAAGGAAGACATAAAAGTAGCCAACAAACATATGAAAAAATATGCTCCATATCACTAATCATCAGAAAAATACAAATTTAAACCACCATGAGATACTATCTCTCACCAGTCAGAATGGCTTTTATTAAGTCCAGAAACAACAGATGTTGGTGAGGTTGTGAAGAAAAAAAGAACACTCACTCTGTTGGTGGGAATGTAAGCTAGTGCAGCCCCTGTGGAGAACAGTTTGAAGGTTTCTCAAATAACTAAAAATAGATTTACCATTCAACCCAGCAATCCCACTACTGGGTACATACCCAAATGAGCATAAATCACTCTAACAAAAAGACACCCACACTTCTGTATTTACTGCAACACTATTCACAGTAACAAACACATGGAACCAATCTCGTTGCCCATCAACGATAAACTAAAAAGAAAACGTGGTACTATAGACCATGGAATACTATACAGCCATACAGAAGAATAAGACCATGTCCTCTGCAGCAACATGAATGCAGCTGGAGGCCATTATTCTAAGCGAATTAACAGAGACAGGCAACCAAATACTGCATGTTCTCACTTATAAGTGGGAGCGAAACACTGAGTACACATGGTCTATGGAACAACAGACCCTGGGAATTCCTAGAGGGTGGAAGGAGGAATGGGAGCAAGAGTTGAAAAAATGTATACTGGGTACCATGCTCACTGTTTGGGTGAGGGGCTTAATAGAAGCCCAAACCTCGCTATCAAATGGTATACCTAGGTAACTAAATGGCACATGTACCCCCGAATCTAAAAATAAAAAAAGTAGAGGAAAAATATTCAAAACCCTGTGGGAGAAGGGATGATATTTATCCTCATTTAACTGAAGAGGAGATGGGCTTAAAGGTATGAAGAATTTTACCAAGGTCATACAGCAAGCAGTACAGAGACCATTTATACAAAGCCATATGTTCTAAGCAACAGTTTCAGCCGGAATTTCTTTCATAGTCACTGCTGGGTATTGTTTGGTCTAAGTCTTTACTTAGGAAGACAATGGGGAGAAGTCTCATTCTGGATCAGAATGTTACAAACGCAAAGAATGTTTAAAAACAGATTGCCAAACTAAGCGAGCGTAAGTCATTGGACCAAGCTGATCTGCAGTGTTTCACTGTGACACCTGATCTTTTGTATCCTTCATAAACAGTAGTCTGAAGACTTGAAATTTAACCGTCTTTAAAAAAGACTTAAAATGTTGCTTCTGTTTAGTTTTTGGTATTTAATATTTTAACTTATGTTTTCAAATGTTATTTGGTGTCTTTTCATTATCTCCTTTTCAAAATTTGAGAAAAAACCATTAAAAAAATGAAATCATATCCTTTGTAGCAACTTGGTTGGAGCTGCAGGCCGTTATCCTAGTAAAATGACGAAGAAACAGAAAAATCAAACAAAAAACATGTCCTCACTTATAAGTGGGAGTTAAACAGTGGGTACACAGGGACATTCACAGTGGAATAACTGTTTCTGTTCTCTAGAATGTTGAATTTAATTATATTGCAGTCATTTCTATACAATGGTTTCCTCCAAGGATTTCCTCCATAATAATACTTTAACACTTCTATTTTTTAGTAAAAAGTCTAATATATTCACTTTCCTAGAAGCTATCCATCAAAAGCCTTTTTATCTAAGAAATATTTTTTCTCAGCCGGGCTCGATGGCTCAGCCTGTCATCCCGTGCCTTTGGGAGGCTGAGGTGAGTGGATTGCCTGAGCCCGCGGGTTCGAGACC